TTAATATACGTATACATATATATCTATACATATATATATATATATATGTGTGTGTGTGTGTGTGTGTGTGTGTGTGTGTGTGTGCTTACAAAGACATATATATATATGATTCTGATAATAAGCACACATTGTCTGGATAATTGTGTAGTGTAAATATGTATGTATAGAAGTTCATATCATGTTCTCTCGATGCCATTGTATATTTTAATATTTTCTCGCGATCATCCATGAAAATTTGCGTAGCTCGGCATAAGTTTGTGGCAATACTTTTTAAGTATTGAAAGTACTGGAATATTGGCTTTTTTAAATCTGAAGGCCTAAGTTACAATTCACCTAGTGTCGCTTCCCTACTGCTCTCAGGTGTATTTATTTCCTATTACATATGTATGCTGGACCGTAATGTACACAATATAGAATAAGATGAAGCACTTATTTCTAAGGCTGAGCACTATCAGATTTGTATCGTATCCTTTTTCGCAAGCCAATGACCGCTCGCAGAGGCGTCACTGTGTGTACGTCCGGTCGGCACTGGATATTAGCACAAAGGCCTCACCAGATAGCCATCCTTCGGTCAACCAGCACTCTACACCAGATGTAGCCTTCTCATAACTCAACACACACACCCCACGCACACACACACACTCTCTCTCTCTCTCTCTGTGACCAGAGCTTTTCTCGACGGACCCGAACTACCGGGCCAAAAACTTCACTACCAACGCGGCAGATAGGCCTCTGGTGGTACAGTTCTGTGCACACGACCCGCACACGCTACTGTCAGCGGCAAAATATGTCGAGAACGACTGTGACGCGGTCGATCTCAACCTGGGATGTCCACAGAACATCGCCAAACGCGGGCACTACGGCGCGTTCCTGATGGAGGACTGGAATCTCATTAAGTCCATGGTGGAGATTCTGGATAAAGAGTGCAAGGTACTGTACGCCACATTGGTTGGTTGTTGTTTTAGGTGAGGTGAGGTGTTGTGCTGTGTTGTGTTTTGTCGAGTTGAGTCATACAATCGTCGTAGCACGCTTCAGAGAGCACTCATGTGGGTCCGTCCGATGTTTATCGGTACTTCTGTTTAGTGATGTATTGAGTCTCGTGTACACGATTTAAACCTAGCGCTACGTCACCTTTACACTTCAATCGGATGGAGTCTGCGATTTTATGAGGGATTTCAGTCCCGAATGGCATAGATGCTAGCCTTGCTGTGGCCTAGAATACTGCGAGCTTTTCGAGTCTACCATGCATTCGTAGATGTATTTCTCTGCTGAAGGGTGCGTCTAGCATTGTATGAGACTTTTGTCTCGAGTACAAATTAACAGCCGTGACATATTTGGCTTAAGTTGACCACACGCCTTTTTGTTTTGCTCATTTGTATACCCAGGTACCGGTCACGTGCAAGATTCGCATGTACGACGACGTCCAGAAAACTATTGACTATGCGAAGATGCTCGAAGCTGCTGGGTGCCAGTTATTGACACTCCACGGCCGTACGAGGGACATGAAGGGTCAGCAAAGCGGTATGTTCTCGCATACATGCATGACCGACGCAGAATGGCCTGCAGCACATTAACTACTATAGTTTCCCATACCTATAGTTCCTCGTGGGATGTGATCTGTTTTTGCATTGTGTTTGGTCATATCGCAGATATCTACGCCACGAAATCGCTGCAGTTGTTTCAAAGTTGTTACTCAACGCACGCGCAAATCCCTTCGCACCCCGCAGGCCTCGCTGATTGGTCGATAGTGAAAGCTGTCAAACAGGCCGTGTCCATTCCTGTGATAGCCAATGGGAATCTCATTTATCTGGAAGACGTCCACCGGTGCCTTGAGTACACCGGGGCTGACGGGGTCATGAGCGCAGAGGGTAATTTGTACAATGCGGCCATGTTTTCGGGCAAGGAAGTGCCTGTGTGGGATCTGGTGGACGAATATCTGCAGGTGTGCTGAATGGGGATCTGCCAATCGAATAGTGCTAGTGTATGATAGCAGACCATGTATAAACATAGACAGTCGTGTAGTACTAGTGTATAATAACCGACCATTGATCTTATGATCCGCAAATCGCTGTAAGCTGTGTGTGTGATATAACCATCTGTGCGTGACCTTTGGCTAATGCACCGGTCAGAGAACCGAGTGCCTATCAACACTCTGAGACCTGGTTGGCTGGAGTGGGATTCTTAAGTGCTTATAGTGTGGCCTGCGTAGTGCGCGTTGGTTTTGAATGGTTGCCGTGTATGACCCACACTTACCCACGTGCTGCTCGCACCGCCACAGATCTGCCGGGACGTCAACCAGGATGCCCCCACGGCCCGTCATCATCTGTTTAAGATGTACCACGCCGCGCTACCCCAACACACAGACATCAGAGACAAGGTATAGACTCGCGATTGACTTGGTATAGTACTACTGTACAGCGGTTTTGGTAACATCAGTGATAAGGTATAGACTCTCGATTGGCCTGGTATAGTACTACTGTACAGTAGTTTTGGTGACATCAGAGATAAGGTATAGACTCTCGATTGGCCTGGTATAGTACTACTGTACAGTGGTTTTAGTGACATCCTGACTGCAATTAGTGCACGTGGTGACTGTTTTGTCATGTCCTCCTCGTGTACAGTTTCGCTCGCACGGTGTGTGGATGTGCGAGTGTGTACACATACTGAGGCGTATTACAAACATCCACAAAGCACACGGATTTTTCACCACTGCTGTGTGGGCACTAAGTGGCACATTGACAGTCACTGGTCTTGGGCCGCGAAGGATCATATGAATCCCGCGGCATGTTGAGGTTGCTTCATACAATCGTTTGAATCATTTGGCTTTACAATACATGTTTGTATCTGTAGGTAGAAATAGGGGGTTTTCAGTCGGTCGGTGCCTACACGTGTGTTGCGTTGCTCTTGGAAAGAATATGTGGGTGTGGGTTACGCGGAACGGATTTAATGGTGACCATGCCACTTCTGTGACGCTTACTCACATGTTCAGTAGATAGTATAATCATTGGACACCGCCACTGTAGTGCTGTATTTCGTATATGCAGTAACTTATGTATGTGCACAGGACTACCCAGCTCTCTGTAACGGCTATTTGAGTGCCAATTGCGTAGCTTTCTCCGCAATCGGAGGAACAGCTGCGTGCATTCGGCTAATCAATTAACGGTATCATTGACCACGTGCGCATTCCACCCGACACTGTTCACAAGTCATCTCGTTAAAACGGTTTCAATACCTTTCGTACTCTCTTGATGGCTTGTGGAACCGCTACAGCTGAGTAAACTATCTGGTTCCGAAGGTCTGAGCGAGCTTCAAAATCTCGCGAACGAATTCAATGCGCGACTGAAAAGGATAGCAGCGAAAGCAAAGCCAACCGACGCAGAGCTTACGAAGGATCAAACGAAAGACATCAACACAGCCATTGTGGTATGTGTGGCATACGCGTCGACCAGTGTTTGGATGGGCCTGGAAACCGGATGTGAACTTGTGATCGAGGGCCTTGATATACGAGTGTGTGGCTTCGACATGTGCAGAAGTGTACGTTGTTCTTCATGTACATATTATTGTAAATTTAACATACTATATATATTTATATCTTTATTTATATATTTATATATATATATATATATATATATATATATATATATATATATATATATATATATATATATATATATATATATATATATATATATATATATATATATATATATATATATATATAGTATAGTATAGTAGTGTGTGTTAGTAGTTAGTAGTTAGTTAGTTGTAGTTGTAGTGTGTTAG